GCCTGTATAGTTTTATAAACAGAACCTTGTCGCCGTTGTTCTAAACTTTCCGGCAACCACTGACTACCTTCTAGCCTTCTCCGGTTCTGATCTAATCCACCAAAAACCTCCCTTGGTCCTCTCTGTTATTCTCCTTGACAGACCGTTACGATGCTCTGTTCTCTCAACTTCTCTCTTTATAGAACCAAGACTTGTTTTTCTCCAAAACCCTTAACCAACGAAATCACCATATTTATAGACGTACAACCCTAAACCCTAATCCTTGTTTAATTAGAGCCAAAGCCCTAATAGAAACCTTAGTCGGCCCATATACTAAACCTATGTCTAGAGTGTCGGCATTATAAACATACGTAAGTAAAAACCTAAAACTATCATTACAAAAATAAAATAAAACAGCGAATGCACAAAAACATAATATCATTAACAATTCAATTTAAAATAATTTAATAACAGAAAACAAAACAATTTAATTAATTAATTAAAACAAAAATCAAATTTAAATAACCACGGAAGAAACACACAATTAAAATAACCAATTAATAGAATAACACGCAATTTAAACAATTAAATAAAAGATTAAACAATTAAATAAATGCCAGGACTATATTAAACAATTAAATAAATGTCAGAACTATCCTTTTAAAATTAGGGGTATTACAGATTTCACCATCCTCAATGAATCTGGCATTATCGGTTTCAACAAATCTTGTATTATGTGTAGGACAAAAAAACTTATACCCTTTGGAATTTTCTGGGTAACCAATAAAGTACCCACTAACTATTCTAAAATCCAGTTTCTTTGGCAACCCCAAACATGCAGGTGCCTTAAACTAGGTTTCCTTCCTGTCCACAGTTCAAATGGAGTTTTTGGAACTGCCTTACTAGGAACCCTGTTTAATATATACATAGCAGTTCTAAGAGCATACATCCACAATGATATGGGTAAAGAGGAATTACTTAATATACTCCTAACCATTTTCATAAGAGTACGATTACGTCTTTCAGCTACACCATTCTGCTGTGGCGTGTCTGGCATATTGTATTGAGCACAAATGCCACGTTTTTCAAGGAATTAAGCAAACGGTCCAAGGCATTGACCTGTTTCATCATACTTTCCATAATATTCACCACCTCTATCTGACCTTACTATTTTCACTTTTTTATCTAGTTATCTTTCAACCTCATTTATGTATACTTCAAGAGTATTTACTGTTTAAGATTTTTCATGCAATAAATAGATATATCCATAACGTGAAAAATCATCTATAAAGGTGATAAAATATTTTTCTCCACTAAAAAATGGAACATTAAAATGTCCACAAATGTCTGTATGAATAATTTCAAGAAGCTTTATATTTCTTGTGGCTCCTTTCTTTGTGTGTTTGGTTTGTTTACATTTAATACAATCCACACACACAATAAAATCAGTAAAATCTAGATTCCAAAGAATTCCATCTTGTACTAATCTTTTTAACCTTTCACTGGATATATGACCCAATCTTTTATGCCACAAGAAAGAAAAAAATTTATTAATTGAGCTACGTTTGGTTCCAACATTATGATGCAAGGTCAAAAGTGTTTCAGAAAATAAATCATCAAGCTTTATCTTGTATAAACCATCAACAAGAATACCAGAACCAACAAATTGGGATTTTTTGAACAAACTGAAACACCCATTACCAAATTTAAATGAAAAACCATCAACATCAAGTTTGGACAAATAAATCAAATTACGAGAAATTGAAGGAACATAAAGAGTTTTAAACAAATCTAAATGAAATCCATTGTCTAAAACTAAATGAAATGTCCCAATAACTTCAACTGGAATTTTCTCATTATTCCCTGTGAACAAGAAATCATTATTTGGATTTGTGGTTTGGGTTGAAAGGAATCCCTGCATCGTATTGGAAATATGAACATTAGAGCCTGAATCAACCCACCAAGTATTAGAAGGAACTTTTGATTCAAAACATACAAAAGCCAGAGGCTTACCCTTCTTTTCGAACCATTCTTTACGTTTCATGCAATCTTTCTGAATGTGTCTAGATTTGTTACAAAAATGACACTTATCATTCTTGCGTTCCTTCTTTTGAGTAGCTTGATCAGAATCCTTTATTTGGGGTGCTGCTCGCTTAATGCCTTTTTCTAGGCCTTTTCTCAAATTTCTTTCTAGCTTCTTGAGTCATGAGATGAACATTATGATTATCTTGTTGCTTAAGCCTTATTTCCTCTTGAACTAACATACTGGCCAATTCATTCACATTCCACTTATCCTTAATAGTGTTATAGTGAATTTGAAATGGCCCATACTGAGTAGGTAAAGAATTGAGAATAAATTGAACGAGAAAAGTCTCATCCACATTCATCCCAAAGTTTTCAATTTCGCAACAAGATTAGTCATGTCAAGAACATGCTCATGCATACTTCGAGTACCATCAAAACGGATAGTAGTGAGGTTAGCCATTGATTTCCCTGCAAGAGTCTTATCTGCAATACGGAAACATTCTTCAATATTTTTCAAATATTCCTTAGCACTATCAGTTTTGGGAAGAGTTATTTTGATATTGTTTGTAATAGTCATTCGCATAAACATAATACTCAATCTATTCGATTTCTCCCAAACTTTATGGAGAGACTTTTCTTCCTCACTGCTTTCACCAGTAATAGCAATAGGTTTCTCAATTTGAAATGTTAAATCAAGATCTAGCACACCTAAGTTGAACTGAACTTGCTTATTCCATTGTGAGAAGTTAGTCCCATTGAGAATTGGAACAGATGAAACATGCGAATTCACTGAAACATGAAGAGATACTGCAATAAAATAATCATAATAAGGTAAATGCTCATAACATTAATAATTAAGATAACAACACATATAAAAATAAATAAATACATTGTACAATTATGGTACCCCTATGGGTAATAACCACAAAATACAAAAAATGATGCTTAGATGTATTTATTTATATATAGCTTCATTGGTGATGCACTAATTAATTAAATAGACAAGTTACCTTTGGATTTCCTATATCTACTCAATTAAGAATTACATACAACCCCTTAATGTTTATTTAATCACTTGAAAATTAATTACCTTTGAGTAATTATTTCTAACAATTGAATAAACTCAATATTCATGAATTTTACAAAAAAAATTATAAGCATCATTATTCATGAAATATTGCAATTATGTCTACCACTAAAATTAATATCCATTAATCATTATGGTTAGGCTACTTTGGTAGCTGCCAACCTTTCTGTAATATGAATATTTAATTATCTAGTGATAAATTTAACATTAAATTACCCACCACATTATGCATACATAATTTACAAAATCAATTAATTAAATTACTAGTGGGTATCTAAAAATTTCATAGATACGTGTACTGTAATGTATATTAATAAGTATATATTTAATCATGTATAAAAAAAAAAAAAAAAAAAAAAAAAAAAAAACAAAAAAAAAAACAACATGAATACAATTTGAGAACCTCGTTTGCGCAACGGAATCAAATTCAACTGATGCACGAAAATAATAATTTATTTGGACTTGTCTCATCATTATTTCTCGTCAGTGTATACTGATGCACACAAAAATAACCTTCCCTTTTAGTTGTTTTGTCTTATTATGATATATATATATATATTATTTTTGATATATAACACAATCAGCAGATTCGTTTTTCCAAATTATAAGATCATCAAAGTCAACAGAATACATATCAAAAAACTTAGCTTAATGTTATACACAAATGAGTTCGGAATTCAAGGCGCAACATATAACATCAATTATCTAACAAATCTGATCATCATTATGTATATACACAAACAAATATATATATATATATATATATATATATATATATATATATATATATAATTTTTTATATATAACACAATCAGCAGATTCATTTTTCCAAATTATAAGATCATCAAAGTCAACGGAATACATATAAAAAAACTCAGCTTAATGTTATACACAAATGAGTTCGGAATTCAAGGCGCAACATATAACATCAATTATCTAACAAATCTGATCATCATTATGTATATACACAAACAATTTCTTGACACTCGTTCAAAATTGGGTACACGAATTAAAACAGTGTTCGTATATCATAAATTAAAATTATATAATTTTTAATTTAAACTTACACATATTATTTATGCAAGGATAATGAAAAAATAATGAGTTCCAAAACTTCGGGCTCTGATACCACATGTAAACTCTAATTAATTTATATTAGACTTTAATTACAAATTATCATAAAACCCTAGATTTTAGAACTTTAATTAATTTCACATCCTTGTAACGCATAAATAAATATAGTTAAATATACCTACCTCTGTTCATGATATCAAACCTGTTAAGATTAAATCCAACGTCCAGATTCTTTAATCATGAACCAATCTGCAACTCTAATCAACAGGCAAAGGCGAAAACTGTTTTCTCTCTCTTGACCTCTTGCACACATAAAACTTTCACGTGTTGTATCCTTAATTGTACATAATTAATGGAGTATATGCACTTTTATAAAAGCAGGAGATGACCAGTTTTCCTTTTAGTAACATAAAGTAAGTAATTAGAAGGAAAAGGTAATTATAAGTTGACCAAGAATAATTAATTGATATCTATTTAGTTAGGTACCAAATAATATGTCACATGGCCAAATCCTGTGGGGGCACAATTAAATAAATAATCTTACAATATTAACGGTGACTTTCTTAACCTCGTCAAACTGATCCAACCTTTCGAAAATGGCGCACCGACAACCCTATTGTCAAGGGATGGCTGATTAACTCCATGGACCCATCACTGATCGGGAACTTCATTCGGTTTCCCACTGCAAAGCTAGTCTGGGACTCCATTGTTACTACCTGTATATGACCTCCGACGCCGTGTGACTCGTCTGCGTCAAGCTGGTAGTTCCCTTGACAAATACTATAACAATTTTCAAGGTTTATGGCATGAGATCGATTTCGGTTGTCCTAATCCGATGGAGTGTGGTGCTGATATTCAAAATTATAACAACCTTGTCCAGGAAGACAGAGTGTATGTTTTCTTGGATGGTCTCGATGATCGGCTCGACAAAATTCGGGGCAATGTACTCCAGATGCGTTCATTTCCCAGTGACTATAAAGTGGCCTCAAGGAATCCTGTTTTTTCTGTATATATATAGATATGTCTAGGAGTTCTACAGCTCCAAACTAATCATGAAAATTATGGAGCAATACTGCATGAGCTCTTCTTGTTGTTTGGCAAGTGTTTGTGCCATTGTTTTGTTGTTACTGTCCTTTGCAGCTGGAGATTACCCTAAAGAGCAAGAGATGGACAGGGTCACAGACTTGCCAGGGCAGCCTCCAAATGTGGACTTCTCTCAGTACTCCGGCTACATAACGGTGGACCCACCGATTGGCCGGAACCTATTTTACTGGTTGATTGAGGCTCCGGCCAGCAGGGACCCAATGTCCAAGCCACTTGTTCTGTGGCTCAGTGGTGGCCCTGGTTGCTCCTCTGTTGCTTATGGAGCCTCAGAGGAAATTGGGCCTTTACGAGTTCGTCCAGATGGGCTCACTCTCACTGTCAGCCCATATGCTTGGAATAGAGGTTTAGATTTATTTTTCACTTCAAATTTCATAACTCTGTTAGTTGAATTCATCTAAACCCTTCATGGGTGATATTTTATTGATAAAATTCAATCCTATTTAAATAAAAAATAATTATATTCCTTGTGATAGTCGGCATAACGGATTACTCAAAGCATTCTCATATGATGCACGGTCCGCACAGACCTCAGTGAATAGTCAGTTATCTAAACGATCACAAAAAATTAAAAATTAATTAGTGCTTAGGTTCCCCTGTTGGGGAGAATATTGAACTTTCTTTTGTACCTTTTTAACAATCTATCAATCTATTTGATCTTATTTTGTTCATTTAAAATTTTTGTCTGCTATGTGTACAAGAGACATTGAATTTAATTATTAAAGCAAAACCTATCTTGAAATTAATGTATGTATACTCTTTTCTAACATGATTGTAATTACTTTTCTCAGAGGCCAATTGGCTTTTCCTTGATTCTCCGGCTGGAGTTGGTTTCTCTTATTCAAGTACTCTATCTGATGTGATCAATGTTGGAGACAAGAGGACTGGTATGCCTCTCTCTCTCTGTAGATATATATATATATATATTATGTATGTGTATCTACAGTTAATTTGTATCAAACAATAATCGACTGTATTTTGGGCTGCAGCTGAAGATTCCTATACATTTCTTATAAAGTGGTTTGAAAGATTTCCTCAATACAAGCACAGGACTTTTTACATTGCTGGAGAAAGCTATGCAGGTTTCTCATTGGATGCTATTACTTCCTTGTCATTTTCTTAATTTTTTATTTTTTGAATAAACTAAATTATTATATTACACCCATAAATATTGAGACAAGGATTAAAAAAATAGTTTAAGAGCCAAATCTAATTGAACACGTTTCCTTTCTTTGTTTTTTTGCCCCACTGCTACATTAGATTTATAGGCACAGTGCTTTAAACCCCTATAATATATGCTAAAATATCACATTGTGTAAATAAGTCATGCCTGACGCATTTAAAGTAAAATTCGACTAAAATGTCCTTAGTGAAACATTTTATAAATCCTTCTGTTTCCCATGACTCTGTGGCCAGACCAAAGGTCGATGACCACGGTTGCCATTTTAGGCAATTGTAGGTCGCATGCGCGAGAGCCTTTGGCTCTCTCTGGTTCGCAAAAGCATTTCTCAGCAAGGGCTGGGATCTGATGTGGTTGCACCCATATGGCCCCCAGGAATCAGGTCCGGGTGAATGCGGGTGAGCTTGCTTTGATCTGGTCTGACCCAGATTGAAACGGGTCAACCCACCAAGAAAAAATATCTAACCCAGATTGAAGCGGGCCAACCCACCAAGAAAAGGATATTTACAAGCAAAATTCGGTTCCAAAAATGAGCTCCCAATATATATGTACAATGATTGGATGAAGAAAGAAAGTAACATAAGAAGACCCATATGAGAGAGAACTCGAGTGAATAAAGAAGAGCAAAGGGGCCATTCACTTATAGATTCTTACATAACACCTACAATATTATTTTATGTCAAGTAAATTGAAGGTGTTTCTCCTCAAATATTTTCCTATCAAAATCTAAAGAATAAGGATATTAATAACACGTTTTAAAAAATATGGGGTAAAATTCAATGCCGAATATACTTTAGTGTTACGTTTGGTGTATAAAATAGAATGGAATGCTCATTCTAACCATTCATTTGTTTGATATATAATTTAAAATGAAAAATCAATTCCACAACTAAACATATGTAATGATCATTCCATTCCCAAGTAAATATTTTTAAAAAATCAACTTTCTAAAAAACCTTCATGTTCTAAGTCCAAAAATTACCACTACCTTCTACCACAACCACCACTGCCTTTTACCACCACCACAACCATTGATTTCCACCACCACCACCCCCTTCCACCACCACTACTTCCACCGACTTTCACCATTGACACCGCCTTCCTTTGTTGCAACTACCACCACCGCCTTTCACCACCGTCATTAATTGCCTTCCATTAACACCGCCACCACTTTCCACCACCACCACCGCATTCTACCACCACCGCCTTCCACCACCTTCACCACCTTCCACCACCGCCATCGCCTTCCACTAACACCGTCACCACTTTCCACCACCACCACCGCCAACTCCATTGCCTTCCACCCCCACTACCACAGTCACTTCCATTGGCTTCTAACACCACCACCTAGACCACTATCTTCTTCCACCACCACACTACTGCCATCGCCTTCCTCCAACACCACTGCCGCCGCCTTCCACCATTGCCACCACCACCTCCTTCCAACACCACTACCGCTTATTATCATCGTCACCACCATCCACCACCGCCACTGCCACCATTTATTTTTAAAAAATTATAGAAGAATGTCATTTTGTTAATTTAATTTGTTTGTTACTAAGAGGGATATTTTGGAGAACTCAATTTAAAATTTATTTCATTTGAAATTGGTTCAACTAAACAATAGAATGGGTATTATTATTCCATTCTTATACATTTTGTAATACCCCTAGTTTTAAAAGGATAAAATTAGGATTTAAATTTCATTCTATGTGCATTTTTGTCTGTTGATTTTTGTGGCTATGTGCTTATGTGTCAAATTGGCTATTTAATTAATTGTTTGCATGTTTATTTTATTTTATTTATTTATTTGAATTAATTGTTTATGTAATTGGATTAATTTTGTATTTGCTTTAATTAGGTTAATTTAGTTTTATTATTTTTTTTAGTATTGTTTCTCTATGGGTTTTATTATTGGTAAAGTGGAATTAGGGTTTAGTCTCTAATCATTCGTGGGCTAGGGTTATTATTATACCCCTATAAATATCAGTAACTGAGGTTTAGGGTTTTAAGAAAAATAAACGTGAATCCTGCAAAAATAGGACCGTGAAATATAGAGTGAAAACAGAGAGGGGTTGTAAGGACAGAGCATGGTAAGGTCTGTAAAGGGAAGAATAGGGAGGATCAAGGAGGTATGGTGGTGGACTAACTAGAATCAGAGGAGGCTTGACAGTGGGTGATATTGCCGGAACAAGTAAAGTCTGTACAGGCAAGTTCTTCTCTTCCTCCTTCCCTTTGGTTCGTGTTCTGTGTACCTAGATATTCTCTAGGGTTTAATCAACCAGTAACTGGGATTTATATGTTTAATATATATTATATAAATGATATGTTTGCATTGAAATCAAAAATTGTTACAATTTCTGCATGGCACGTTTCAGTTTTATTTCTGTAAGTGTGTTAACTCTATTGTAATTTTAAGCTTGTTAATTGATTTCAGCCACTGCAAACGGATCCTTGGGATGTTACTGGGTGTTACTGGGGTGATATAAGATCCTTAGGTTCAGTGGTAGAGAGGAACAGAGGGAGTGAAATAGAACTGGCGTTGTAAATCAGTTTAGTGTTGTGTTCTAACCTGCAAGTTCTATGGCTTTGTTTAAAGCTCTGTAATTGTTCCAAATTGTGTTATCAAACCATTAGCATGCTTCTTAGTATTAATAAGACTCTTAGGACCAGGTTTAGGAATCAACTGAAGGGTAGAAACATACCGGAAAAGAAGCAGAAGGTCGGAACGGAGCAAAACGGGGACAGACGGCTCTCAAGGAGGTGAGAGCCGGCTCCACAGAAGTGGGAGCCGGCTCCCACACACGTAGATCCGGCTCCTAGGTTATTGGAGCCGGCTCTAGGCTGATTGGAGCCGGCTCCACCCCAAAAAGTGCTTCCTGGATTTATTTTTGACGCAGTTTTGAAGCTGTGAGTGTCTGAACTGTTTTGGAAAAATTCTGGGACACTACAGAGTGTTCAAGAAGTTAATTTTGGATGTTAATAAGACTTCTAAATTGATTAAAGTTTAAAACAAAATTCATGAAGCAATCTGTTTAAAGCTTGGGCACATTGGGTACGGTTAAGAGAGGGATGGAGATTATACGCTTAGGTTTTTCCCTGGGTGTTCCAGTGGGTTCTAATATATTTATAACATTGTTCTAAATATATTTTAATGCCATTGATGTATTAGCTTGGAGGTATACATACTTTGGAGGTTAGTTGCTCAAGTTGATAAATCGTTCCCTGCAACTATTTGGTTTACTGTTTGGATTTAAATTGCTAGAACCTTATATATTTTGCTGCAATTGTTTGGATATTGGTTTGGACTGTAAATTGCTAAACTTTAATTTAGGTGTTGTAATTTACATGGTTTGGATGTCAATTGTGAAATCTTATATATTATTCTGCAATCAACTGGATTAGGGTTTTGAACTGAAATTGTTATAATATTGTATAAACCATGCTGCAATTACTTGGCTTTGGTTTTGGATTCAAATTACTTGCTTATTATATATATGTGGTAATTTACATGGATATGGAGGATTGTATGTACCAGTATGGGATGGTGACATACTAGGTAAGGATTAGTTAAAACACTAATCCTACCTAATTTGGAATGAGTTGGATTAACCATACAAAGGTTAAGTCATACTTAAATGGATGTATATGAACCGGTATGGGACGGTGTCATATTAGGGATGGCTTAGTTCAAAACACTAAGACCTATCTATATTAGGAATGGATTAGTTCAAAACACTAAGTCCTACCCAAATTGGATTAAGGTATGGATTAACCCTAATGGTTAAGTCCATCATCTATTTGTATCATATCAATTGAGAACTGAATGACCTATTTGGTTTCAGGATGGATTTGTTATACATATATCAGACCCCTATATATATGGTTGATATTTTGTATTAGAAGGAGTATGGACTTTACATATATAATATACGTGCCATGGTATGAGCTTGAGTCTCAGGACCATGGTTAGGGCGCGTATATCGCCTGGGATGGATAACTGGACATAGGTGTTGTTCCCTGGTAAGTCTAGGTAGTCATGCCCACCTTAGGGTGCGTATTTGCATGTTGCCTTCTATTCAGGCTGAGATAGACCTACTGGATTAGTGAGCGTCCTATAGTGTGTACTATATACATATATGGACTACTCTAGCTATTGTTGAGATATTTAGGGTGTATCTGCGTATCGGGTCACTGTGTGGATTGCAGTTAGATTAGAACTTGCTCGTGGGCCTGACCCACCCTTCTATTATTTTTTTACAGGTGTTCGTTAGCTCCAATCATAGAGCTGGATCGTGCTGAGCAGATACAGTCATTCACTCCACCGTTGGCATATGATTGTATTTCATATGGTAGAATTGAGTTTTATTTCCAGTTCTTTTGAATACAGTTGGGATTTGAATAGGGGTCCACTAGATGGATTCCCGAGTTGTATATGGAGAATCAGTTGTATCATAAAGGTTGTTTATTAATGAAATTTTATTTCGGGATTTCATTCAATGGATTATCATGTTAGTTTTCTATTCAGCAAATTTTATTTATTCTTGTTTACTTTAAAATTGTACTCTATGTTCGTTAATTGCTAATTTGTTTGATATCCTCGGGTAATCGGGCGTGGGCCTGGCCAACGCGCATCCGGAAATCCGGGGGTATCACACATTTCATATTTATAACCAAATAATAGAATGAGAATGGCCATTTGCATTCCATTCAATTCTCATTCCATTCCCACATTCTATTCCATTCCTATATACCAAACAGAACATATGAGTGTTTTTTGTACTTTACCCATTAATTTATATATGACATACATACACACACACACACACACACATATATATATGTGTTACAATTGATTATTATTATTTTATTTAAAATCAAGGAAATAAAATCATAACATGA